GTGGTTTGTATCCTATTGGAATCTAAGCATTTCTTGCCTGAGATATGTCTCCTGTTTTTTTGTTTCTGGCTTCTCCATTACCACCCCCACCATGTTTCTCAGTAGAACTTGGTGTCATGATCTACATTCATTAAGAGATCATTTATTTGACCAGCTGGCAACAAAATATGCCTACACTTATTTATAGTAACTGAAAAGAGACATACCCAATGAGGGAAAGGGGAATGGCTGTCAGGCGGAAAATTTAACCCCTTAGAGTGAGCCTGAAGAAACACTTGGACGAAGAAGCAGAAAGAGAAACAAGGAGAGAATCAACAGATAAAAATGGCATTCAGACATATTTTCTTAGCCCTTTAGCCTACTCACTTCCTTCTCGACTGAGACCTCCAAGGGCCGAACCATGCCATGTCCATCTTGGCGTCTGTAGCACCTACCACTGCGCCTGGCAAATAATGCTCAAAAATTGTTAGATGGTGGCTGGGCACTGTAACTCACCCCTATAACCCCGATACTTTGGGAAGCCAAGGCAGGTGGATCGTTTGAGCCCAGGAGTTCAAGACCAGCCTGGCCAACATGGGAAAACCCTGTCTCTATAAAAAAATACCAAAATTAGCCGGGCTTGGTGGCACATGCCTGTAATCCCAGCTAGGCTATGGTGGGAGGATGCCCTGAGCTAGAGAGATTGAGGCTGCCATGAGCCATGGTTGCACTACTGCCCTCCAGCCTGGGCGACAGAGTGAGAGTCCCTGTCTCAAAAAAAAAAAAAAAAAGGTTAGAAGGAGGAGGATGTTCCTTCTTCAGCAGGAGGTTGTGCTCTTCCTGTTTTTCCTCAATGCTTTTCTATGGGATTTTTGGTCTACAGCAATCCACTAGCCCAAAGGATATCCAGTTGGATATACCTTTCTTTCAAATTAGTTTTTGTTTGCTAATATTCTTGCAAAATAATAATCACTTCCATTATTAAGCTTTTCATTTATCCGGTACTTACTGAATTCCTGATATATGTAAGACACTGCTCTATGTGCTAGCAATCCAGTAGTAAAGAAAACATCATTCCTTATCACATGCCAAACACTGTATAAAATGCCTTATGCTTTATTTACATTATCTCCTTTAATGCTTACAACCCTTGTGAAGTGGGTGTTTTTCTCAATTTGAAAATGAAATTTTGGAGATTAACAACTTAATTGAATTTCCCAGGATCTCACTTTTTAGAAAGTCGAAAACTGGGGGCAAACACAAATTTAATTAGAGTTATTTCTCTGAATTACCGGTCTCTCCAACTTCTAGACCATGAATAAAGAAATGAGAATCATGTAAATCAGAACCTGAGCTATATGAGTAAGCCCAATAGATGTTAATAGTGTATCATGAAAAAAGTTTAAGACCCCAGCTCTGTGGACCTGGGTGCATAATCAGCAAGTCATTTCCCTCAAAAGTAAACCTGCCACGAATTTCTTCCCAGGCATGATTTCATTGAATCCTGTAAACAGCTCTTTACGGGGCATCCTAAATTGTCCATTGTCACATTCATTTTCATTTGTCCACCATCTATGCAGTAAAAGACCACGTATAAGTCGACATCAGGGTACTGTGGACCGTTCTGCTTTATAAAAATGAAACAAAACAGGTCAGGTTTTATCCAGATTAATTAAATAATATATTCAGTTCTTCAAAAAATATGTACTGGTATGTACCAGCTATGCACCATACTTTTCAGTACGTTGTAGAAAGTAAGACAGCCAAGAACCCTGCTGTCCTGGGTGTTATATGTGAAAGTCAGGGAAACAAACAAAAAAGAATTTAAAAGATGATATCGGACAATAAGTACTACCAAAAGTATGTGAAGGGTCTGGGAGTGGGGTGAGTATAGGATATGAAGGGTGTGCAGTCTCAGAATGAATGATGGGGGAAGGCCCCAGTACAGAAATGCTGTTTGAATTGACTTCTGCATGGTAAGAAGTCAGCCATATAAAGATTTAAGAGAAAGAAGTGCTAGTCAAAGGGAAAAAAACAAACAGAGGCCCCAAAGCAGGAACAAACTTCATTTGTTTGAGTAACACACATACATACACACACACACACAGACAGACATTTGTGTCTGCATCAGACCTTGGAGGGGAGAGGAATGAGAAAATATTAGAGAGAAAGGTAGGGCCCGGAAGACATAAACCTTATGTGTGACGTTCTAATGTATTAGCCACACAAAGACATATTTAAGTGTGGACAGATTGGGAGGTTGAGGTGGGCACATCACTTGAGGTCAAGAGTTTGAGAGCAGACTGGCCAACAGTCGAAACTAAAAATACAAAAACTAGCCAGGCGTGGTGTCACATGCCTGTAATCCCAGCTACTTAGGTGGCTGAGACAGGAGAATCACTCGTCATACCACTGCACTTCAGCCTGGGCAACAGAGCGAGACTCTGTCTCAAAAAACAAATGTGGATGGGGATGTTCTTAATAATTACCCCCATAATAATAGGTATGAACCAGGAATGTCCCAGGCACACCAGGACTTGAAGTTATTCCACTTATATGCCGAAGTAAGGAGTTTGGATTTTATTCCACTACAGTTGTGATCCCTTAGAGAGTTTTAAGCAAGAGATTTGCATTTCATAAATGTTCACTTTGCTGTGTGAAGATTAACTTCTGGAATGAGAGTTTTGTTTTCGAGGCTAGTGAAGTAATCCTGGCAAGCACTGATGGTGGCTTGAATGGCAGTAATAGAGCCGAAAAGAAAGTCACTGGTTTGGGATGTATTTTGTAGATAGTGTAGATAGGACTTACCCATAGGTTGCTCATAGGGGTGAGGGTAAAAGAATGATAGTCACTACTGAGTTTTCGGCTTCAGCCTTTGGGTGAATCGTGATGCCATTTGTTGATTGTGGAAACGCTAACAGGAGAATCAGTTTTGGAAGATGATGGGGCATGGGTGGGATCAGTAGTCTGGTTTTGACTATGTTAAGTTTGAGATTCTTGTTGTAAATACAAGTGGAGATAGCAAATAAGCAGCTGGGATACAATCATTTTGCTTACTGCATTCAGAATAGCTTTCTTGCAATGTTATCTGTATTATCCTCAACAAAACAATTTAAAATGACACTCCAGTATTCTACTAAAGTGATTTTGTATTCAATATCTTTCATTATTTTTTGTTTTCACCCTTCAGTGTTTGAAATTGCTAACATTCCGATTGCCTTTCTAGGAAAGCGTAGACCTGGGTGAAATCATGTTTTCCCTTTGTTACTTGCCGACGGCAGGGCGTATGACATTGACAGTCATTAAGTGCAGAAATCTGAAGGCGATGGATATTACTGGCTCATCAGGTATGTACACAATGGCCATAGGACCAAGAGCACAATCCCCAATGAAATATTTCATGTATCTAAAATGATACATGACTGTTGAATTATTTGTCTATAATGGGGTACTACAAAAGAAAAAGCAAGATTACAAATTTAAATGTTCCAATTCATCTCTTTTATTTACATTATCAATATGAAATTTTTAAAAGATGTTATCAAATAGATGTGAATTTGGGTTCTGGTTTCTATTTCTTCCTCTACCAATTTAGTACTGTCTCAAAAATACGTAATTTACCATCTACTCCCCTACTTTCAGCTAGTCAGTTGTTTATAAAGGAAGATTCTTAGGCTTTAAGTGGTGAGTGAGGCCATGTGAAGATATATTTTAGTCTGAACTTATTCCCCTCACCTGATCTGCAGAGAAATAACCATGTTCCACGACCATCATTTGCATTTGCATTTTTGCCACCTAACTAAAAATGTGTGCATCTCTAGTGTCTGAAATAAATAATAAAATAAATCAATGCTTCTTGAAGATTCTGAAAGAAATTCTTGAAGGAAATGCCTCTTGTGCTAACTCTAATAAAAAGATAAAGACACATCGTGTTTCTTCATCCCTTTATTTAATTCACTGCAGTTCTGGGTAATTATTTAGAATTTAATACATAAGCACTGGCACAACTCTGTGGAAGAAAAATGATAAGCGAAGAGTAGGGAGACTGGTAGGCATTTGTTGTATTAAACAGAAATAAGAAATAGGGGTGGAAATAAAGGATGACATTTGGGGAAGATCTATAATTTGTGGTTTTGCAGAACAACAACAAAATCTAAATTTGCATCACAAAAAACATCAGGGAACTATAAGTTCTAGTGTGGAAATAGCTCCAGGATGTACAAGTGGATTTTTAAAAAGAGGTAAAATATTAACATGAATATTATGCACCCTTCTGTGTAGGAATGGGGAAATTTGGAATATATATATTCATATTGCTAATATCTGTATTAAAAATACTGAAGTGATATACAAAAACTAAGGGATGAAGAGGGATGAAGACAAATGGGAGCGAGACTACTTATTGTATATCATGGATTTTTGAACTATGTCATGATGTTCATTTTTTAAAATTTGCAATACATAGTGTGTATGTGAAAGTAGAACAACAAGTAAATTCTACATTAATTTTGGTGAAAAAGTCTTCGGTCAGTAAATGTTGAAGAATTTAAGATAAACAGTGTACTCTGCAAATTGTTTATTCTACTCTTTTTTACCGTGTATGAAAAGAGATCAAATTTTGAGACAAGAAAACAGCATCAAAGTTATAATTAAGTGCAAGATTACATTTTACTTATATGAAACTTTTCATCAGAGAAGCGCTTGCTTTGAGAGCACCTCCTCATTAATCCTCACAACAGGCTTGTGAATCAACTAAAGAGCCAGTAAATTATCCTTGTCACAAGCAGAGAAATGCAGTCGGAGACGTGATGGGAGTTACAAAGGGTAATCCATGCCTCTCATTCCCATTGTTCATTAGAAGGCCTAGGCCTGTGGGCTCAAACACAAAGCTGTATCACAGAAATGAGCTTCTCCTTAGGATGTACTTCCTGTTATTTAAAAATTTAAAAGTAAATAGGAAACAGAGACTAACATTACCCTGTTATCTTGTTTTCCTCTATATACCCCATTTCCAGCCACGAATACCTTGTTTCTTGATGGGAATGCTTTGGAAATATACAGATACATATTTCAAGAGTTTAAGAAGCATTCACATGCTCAAATAGATTAATATTGTCATCATTTTGGTTTATTCTATGGAAATAAAATGTATTACTGTGGAAATAGGGAAAAAGAAATATTGGTGCTACAGGTAGAGGATGGTCAGAATGAAAAAAAAATAAGATAGCAGACATTGATTGTTTAACTATCTAGTGTGCTCAACCCAATGTCAATATCACCTCCCAAAACCATACCTGCTTTGAATAGAAGATGCAAAAGTAAGGCTTGTTGGAAATTTTGTATAACCATCATACAGTCTTCTATAATACTTTAGCAGTTTTACAATTTAAGATGGTAAGGGTAATAGGAGAGATATCAAGTCAGCTGTAGCAGAACTTGTTAACAATTATCTGCTCCCTTTGGCCTATAAAAATGTAGCCTAACTAAATTTTTCTCCTGTAATTGGCATGATGTAGACAATGTCGTATCAGGAGACTTCTTCCTGTGTGGCCATCTTTAAACCAAATATCCCCTTTTTTATCATTTCCTGCTGTGCATGCAATAAATCACTTTAAGTGTCATTTTTTTCAATCGAAGTTCCTTATTAAGCAAATGATATTTTTAATTTTAGGTCCTTTTCCAGTACTTGAAGGAAATTCCAAGTATATTTTTTGCTCTCTAATTGCTGCTTATTGTGATCTCTGTCTAGGTACAGTGTTGCTAAGTCTTTCCCAAGTTTTGATCTTCTTACTCTAGACCATTTTGAAAGAAACTAACCTTACTAGAATTATTATTTTTTTGGAGACAAATTTAAAATTGGTAATACTAAAGGTCTTAACATAGGCCTTAGTACTGTATGTCTTATTTAGTAAAAATAAACTGCAGTTTTATTTATACTTTGGACTACTACTTTTATTCTAATAAAGTTATCTTCTTATTCCTAGATCCTTATGTCAAAGTGTCCCTGATGTGTGAAGGTCGAAGATTAAAAAAGAGGAAAACAACTACAAAGAAAAACACTCTAAACCCTGTGTACAATGAGGCCATTATTTTTGACATCCCTCCAGAGAACGTGGACCAGGTCAGCCTCTCCATTGCAGTCATGGATTATGATAGGTATGTGTATCTCTCTACTCACTGAACGGCAGCCACGTGTAGTCATGCACAAGCCAAACTCAGCTTTTCAGGTCATTTACTGCTACAACAGTTTTAATTTAAATTGGAGGAGGGAATATTGATTCCTTCAAAATTCGTTGTTTTCTGTGTTAGAGTTCTGGATTTTCATTTCCAAAAGAAGTCATCTTTAAATTAAAATTCACCTGGGACTGGTGAAAGAATGGGTCCAGAAGTGATGTAGAACATATTCAGGAAAGCACTATTGTGGAGTCTTTTTACAGTAACAACAGAGATTATAATCAACAGAATTTGTTTTACCAACTAGTCTGGAATATGAATATCATGGTGCTTACCCGAGCTCTCTCATTAACTAGCTGCATGAGAGGACATGTTACATAATCACTTTGAGAATCACTTCTCCCCTTTGTAAAACTTAAGCATCCTATAGAACTGTAAACAATGAGGAATAAGAGTGGAAAGTGAATAGTAGCCATAAGGATACAGCTTTGATGCCTTCACATTAATCTTAAAGCATTGCTTTATGGATAGTGCTTCCAGATCACACAGTTTGAGTCACTCCTGCTTTCACGAAAACATTGCAGCCTCCCCTATGCAGCTCTGAAGATCCTTCCCACTGCAGCTCTTACCTTTGCCCTCCCACTCTCCCCGTTGCCTGGACTGTCCTCCAGCTTCGTGTATCTTGCCCCATCAACACCCCACATCCTTGCTTATGTCAGCACCTCTGTAAGTCTTGCTTTGTTGCCCAATCCTCTTCTTCCTCTGAACTCTTGTCCTATCAACAGTTTGTGTCTCTTATTTGGGCCTTACTGTATACTTCCTCTTATTATTTTGCCTTTTAGATTTATACAATTTTTGGAAATGAATGCTTATGTTTTTAACCTACAAAATTATCAGCGCATAAAGAGTAGCTTAGTACATTTATTTTGTTCTAAAACACACAAACAAACACGAAGTGTCCATTTTATAGTATCATCACCAGGACCCTATAACTGAGAGAAATTAATGTGCTCAGCTCTGGCTTAGAGCTAGGGGGAAAAAACACTGAAAAATAACATTTGCAAGCACCATCTATTAGAACATTTATAATTTAAAATTTAAATTATAATTTTAAAAAAATGTATAATTTTTAAAAAGTTCACTTGTGACTACTATTTAGAAAGAGAGAGAACTCTTGAAGTAGTTGGAATTTCAAACCCAAAAAAGCTGCAGATGTTTTTGTCAGGAGCCCCATTCTGCTTTGCCAGTTACCCCCATTGATTTCTCACAGCAGTAAGTGCAGGTGGATGCAACTGAGCATTTGTCACTTGGGCAGTTTTATGGAAATGGATGCTAACATGATATGCACAGGAAGACAAAATTTTTGTACCTAAAAACATGCTTGTTGGGGAAATTTCATATTAAAGAAAATAATACTACATATATATATCTACATCAGTGATGGGGGAAAAGGTAATGAAATTGTTCTAAAATCATCTCAAAAATATCTTTGGAGATGTCTGTCAAAATTGAAAGCTCCTTCCAATGACATTCCATTCTTGAGAAGCAGCTTAACCACATGTGCTCTTCAGTCAACAACTCATTTGATTCAGCTCCTCTCTCTGCCTCTTACTAAGTGTGTAAAGTCAGGCCAGCTCCTAACCTTCTGGGCATTTAGTTTATTTGTAAAACGAGAGAATGATAATAATGATATTCATGGTCATGGTGGGAGAATTAAGTGGGTCAGTACATTTAAACTACTTAGAACACTGACACATAATAAGCTCTCAAAAATATTAACTGTTATTATTATCATCTTGATTCATTGCTGTGAAAGCAGGACCTGAGTAGAAAACACAAATGTTGTCCAGTATGTTTTCTGTTATGCAAAAATAAATCACATGTCATGCAACTGAACATAATCCTGCCCTATTTAATTGTAATACAAGTGGTAACACACTGACATATCATTTAGAGCCAATTAAAGAAAATTGGTACTGTATTTCTTGGTGAGAAATCTAAACATCGTTATAGAACATTAAGCCTCATGGAAAGAACAAGATTTGCTTCACATCACTTATATTAAATAAGACTGTTTGCAAGAAAGACACTCATATAGCTGAAGACCTACTGGTATTTCTCATTCATGCCATTTTTATTATGATGAAATGTGCTTAAACTACAAAGCACTGAAATGGTTTGTGTGTGCCTCTTATACACATTCATTTTTTGAATGTTGATACTGTTTAGTAAATGTTGATTTACTTAAGAGATTTCTTTCGGTCTGAAGTAGTATAATCTGCAAAATTACAGAATCTAATGTTTTAATCATATGTTTAAAATTCTACTAAGATTTGTGAAGCTCCCTTTATCTTTGAATGTTGGAAATGAAAGTATAATATTCCACAAATCATAGGGTAGGACACAATGAGGTCATAGGAGTGTGCAGAACAGGACTGGATGCTGAGGGTCTTGGGCGAGACCACTGGAATGAAATGCTGGCCTATCATCGAAAACCAATAACACACTGGCACCCCTTGCTGGAGGTAAGTTTGTGAGTTCCTTACATCTGCTCTTTTTGTTGTCTCTTTTACTTAAATAGTATTTATCTGCTAACCTTTATCTGATATTTTATGTATTCATCCTGGTTAAAAAAAATAGAAAAGATTGTTCTTGCTTTTGTCCCACATTCTGTAACATTTAATATGCAAAGTTCTGTGTGCCTTCTTGGATTTTAAAAAACACTACATTTTCTGGGCTTCGTATTCTTTTGGACAGTAAGCCATTTGCAAGTTTTTTGTTTTTTGTTTTTTGTTTTTTGTTTTTTGTTTTTGCATAGTCTGAAAACTTACATCTGTGAAGGCTGGAGCAATCTAGTAAGTTTATTACTAACTGGAAACTGCATTTTTGTCCTTCTCTTCTGTAAGAAACAGTCACCTTACCCAGAGTTTTCCACAATCCCTAAATAAAAGTGCTGTCACCTAATATAACTTTTCTGCGTAACGGGAAAGATATGTCTCCCTCAACTCTGATCAGGAACTAAAACTGCCCACAGGTTTTAAAAATATTGAGGTGTCAGTTTAGTCGAGTTCAAGGCTTGGCTCTGCTGTGTGACTACTTATTGTAAAACCTCAGGCAAGTTGCTTTACCCTCTGTGTTTCTGCTCTGACTCTGAAATAGTGGTAAACTCAGAGTAAAACTAAAGAAATGCTGAATATTAAGTGCTTAGTGCTTCCTGTTCCAGCACTAGGGACTGGATTGAATGGGAGAGACTGTGCAGTATAATTGACTAAGTATCAGTGGGACCAGGTTCTAATCTCAGTTTGGTCACAAAAAAACGCGACCTCGGCTGTGTTACTAAGGCCATTGTAAGGGAAATAGGATGAACACCGAATGAGCATTGCATGTTCACACAGGTGAACTGTCGTCGTCAGTATCTGTTTATATGTGAATGTGTCAAGTCTTTATCTGACTTCATAATTCAGTATAAATCATAAAAGATAGACACACACACACACACAAATGCATCTACACACACACACACACACACACAGAGAGAGAGAGATACCCAGTCACTTGGTGTTTTCCCCTAGAACTTCATAAGTATAGACGTGTCTTCTCTGAGTAGCTCACATCTTAGAAAGTTATTATTGGTTTCAAACGGTGAATGTTGCCTAAAGTACACTTTACTGCTTATTGTATGATTAGTATTCTTTTCCTAATTCTCATCTTTTCGTGTGAAAAGTGAACATTAATTCTAAAAATCTAAAAAGGAGAGTAAAGCCATGTTGGGCAGGAACTCACTCTGAGTGGAGAGGTGGATTCTAATTTTGTTTCTCTGGCTGTCTACTTCTGAGCAGGCTGTCTACTCTGCCTCCAACTACACCTCTCCATGTTTCACAAAAATAGAACTGCATGCCTCTACAGGCTGCGCAGGGATGATGCAGGGAGAAATGAGATAATGTGAGCAAGAACTCTTAAGGAATGAGAGAAAGGTGCTTTATGACCAAGGCATAGTAATTATTTATTAGTGCTTAATAAGCAGCTTTACATTTCTCTGATGAAGGGGGATTCTGTAATAGGCACATATTTGTGTTTGGGAACGTGTGGACACTTTTTTTGTCATAATAGAATATACAGGAAGATAAGCTACAATATAGTCATCAGAAAAAGATCCCAGATAGTTATTGAGAACAAGATTGTGTAAATATACATTCTCCAGCAAAATAGCTCCTTTTAACCCCTGTTTCTATATTCATTGGTCAAACAGAATATATGGACTAGGGACCTAAGAACTAGCTGGATTGTGCATTATAAGAAAAATAAGTATGTAATTATATATGTTGTTGTCACAGAAGGCATAAATATGAGAAGGGAAGAGTTATTCGAGAGTTGTGTCCATTGGTACAACAAAGACTAAAGTATCATGTAGAAAATTGGGTTCCTCCACCGTCGCAGTGGCTCATGCCTATAATCCCAGCACTTTGGGAGGCCAAGGCGCGTGTATCGCTTGAGGTCAGGAGTTCAAGACCAGCCTGGCCAACATGGTGAAACCCCGTCTCTACTAAAAATACAAAAATTAACCAGGCTTGGTGGCAGGTGCCTGTAATCCAAGCTACTTGGGATGCTGACACAGGAGAATCACTTAACCCAAGGAGGCAGAGGTTGCAGTGAGCCAAGATACACCACTGCACTCCAGCCTGGGCGACAAGAGTGAGACTCCATCTCAAAAAAAAAGAAAAGAAAAAGAAAATCGGGTTCCTCTTATCTAGATAATCATTCATTTTGTTGTAATTAAACTTTTTAAATACACACAGGCATTTAAGGATTGTGCGAAAGTATCTCTGTCACTTGGGGCTCCCATCTGCCAAATGCAGTTCTCATCTCATTAACTGCCTCCATGATCACCTCCTGCCTTAGAGCAAGTGGAATGCAGTATCTTGTGTTTACTTCAGTTCTCTTGTGTTTAGTCTCTTACTGCTCTTTCCTAGAAATTGCCACTCACTAAAGTAAACCAGCCTGGCCAACATGGTGAAACCCTGTCTCTACTAAAAATACGAAAATTAGCCGGGCTTTACTTTACTAAAGTAAACCATTTATTTTTTGTAGAAAAAAGCTAAAACCCGTTGTAAAATTTGAAATTATTCTGCAGTTTTAAATAGTTGTCTACACAGGGCTGCTCCATGTACGTCTGTGTACCATGCTCTGCCTACATTCTATGAGACATCCATGTCCCTTCATGGTAGCAGAGAAGGTAAGTTCTGAAGGGCAAAGGGAGTTATGTATTTCTTTTCTTCAGAGATTCACATATTATGGTTGAATATTCACTACTAAAAGGGAGCAATGATTAACCACTGTATTCTGTTTCTGTACTAGATCATATGTTATGAAATTATTGTCTTTCAGTTACCTGGCCGGGCTACCAGTTTTGATAGTCAAGGATCCTGCCCTTCTCCTAAACCACCTTCCACACCATAATGCCTCCAAAATAAGACCATGATATTAAGAACCTAGGATCATGTGCTCATTGAATCAGAAAAAAAAGTGGAAGGTTTGATTTCCTCATTTAAAATATATCCATAGTAATCAACGAACTTGATGTGCACTTTTTTATTTACTTTTATTGTTGATTTTTTAACTTTGAACATCAATACATTTTACTTGAATACATATAGTCCTTAGTTGCATAAGGCATTTTATCCTTCGCGTCAAATGCCTGTTAGCACAGAGTGTTTTACTGTGTTGTAATTGTTTACATAAGCAAAGAAATGGTTTTTTAAACAGTTCATATTTATCTAAAATTAAATATAGTTTATGCTGCTATTGTATAAAGTAGCAGATGTCACATATGTATGGGTTTGATTTTGTTACACTGTGTTCATTTCTAATTGTGCATGTGGTTCTATATAAACTTAAAAGCAGATTTTGAACTTAACTTACACAACAAATCCTTGCACAATCAAATTAATGTTACTTATCTGATAATACTTTCTTACATTCCCAGAAAATTACTTTCTTGGTGAGGTTTGGCTCTGCTAAACTCAAAACTTTGTCTCTCAAGCTTGTTCTTTAAAACACACAGACAAAGCTGTAAATTTAAAGAATCATTTTGAATATAAATTTAAGAAGTAATGCTTATTGGCTGAAAAATGGAGGCTGAGCCATTGTGGCTACCATTTTATACTGTTTTACTGTAACATTAGCTTAAATATCTGTTGCACTGTTTAACTGATTTTTTTTAATTCTAATAATCTTCACCTCAAATGTAGCATTAGTATTTCTAAGTGAACAGAATCAGAAGTTCATTTTTTAAGTGTTTGTAAGGTTCTCAAGTACTGTGACATGTATTTTTTGTGACTTGAAGCTATCATATAGATCCTGTATTTCTGATAGACTGTACTGACAGACACCAAAGGAACAACAACACTGTCTGTGTTCATCATCGTTTAGATTGTACACAGTAATGGTGACTCTTAAACCCAGTCAGAAGCTAATCGTTGGAATTGGGTACTTTCATAAAGAAAAGATGATTTATTTTCAGCAAAATATAGAAATATACCATAAATATTAATAATACACCTTCAACGCTTAATAATAATAAACACATTAATTCTAAAGGCCCAGGCCTCCAGTCCTTGCATGAAAGGCATTTGCCTTCATAAGGATCAAGGTTCAGGCCACTACATGTAAAACCTATGCAAATGTTTTTACAAAACAGAACTTTCTTTTAAATCAGGTCAACATATTTTGTCCCATTTTCAGGCCCTGTTGGAAAGTATCTATACTAAATTACCCCAACCTTACTTTTGAGATGTGTGGTATGGATAGTATATATTTCAAGCTTATTTCAAAATTGATGGTTTTTTAAAAAAAGGCAAGAAAATAAAAACATATTTACCTGGATGAGAAAATTTTATCAGCGGTTATGAAATTTTTATTTTTGTAAAATCCCATTGTTTCTAAGTATTAAAAAAAGTTTTAAAAGCATTAACATTTTGTTGACATCTCTTGTAGTGATGGCATTACTATTAATTAAGAGGTAAATATTTTTCACATTAACATTTTAAAGGCAAACATAGTTCTGCCTCAGATTTTTCAAGAATGCTTATACCACCCTAAGGGAAAACAGGTACTCCTAGCTAACATTTTCTCATTTAAAATAATAGAAGAAAGCTGTTTGGAAACACTTGGCTACCTTGTCAAGCCTAAAAGGATTATTTGCTATAGGTAAAATGAAAGATGACACTTGCATTTTGAAATTATTTGTTTTATTGGGAAATAAAACTTTTCAAATGGGAAGACAAAGTTATACTATTAATAGAATGACATTTTTGGAGACAATTGTTTTATTACTAGATATAACTGAAGCTTAAAGTAAATTAACAATTACATTTCCTAAGTGAGTATAATTCTTTTCACCCAAAAACATATTTGAAGGACTTTTTGTTGATTCTTAGAAACTCGCTTTTCTTTACTTCCTAAGGAGAAAAAGCCAATGCTTGTGATGAAAAAATGTGAACCCATTGGCCAATCAGAAGACTCTAATATGGGAATTGTAGATTAAAATAAGTTTTTAAACTAATTTTTTAAATGTTTCCTTGAAGTTAGAATAAACTCATCATGCAAGGATATGTGTTAATCCTGAGAAAGAGATTAAGAAGAGGAAATTCACCACAACTGATCTTTCATGTAATTCAGGAGGTCGGTTTATGCTCAGATTAATAAGGCATGATTGTTAAAAATGACAGTTCATATTATTAAAATGTAATCCTAACACTTTTAACACAACACACCCTCACTCTCTACAGCCCACACATTCATATACACATAACTTACCATCTTTCTGCTTGTAAGTGAAGATGAAATATTTTTAGTTTCAGTATTTAAAATAAGGTTGATATTACAAATCTCCTCTCATTTGTGTGGGACATCACATTTTAATGACAGTACTGACACATTATGAAGTTGCAGTTCAGGTATATAATGAATATCTAATTTCAGGGACTTCTTCAGGGACTTACCAAATACAAGTCTAGGGAAAAAAAGAGTAAGGATTGATTCATTAGCATAACAACACTGATATTCTTTTTAGTTTTAGGGGAGGGATGTGTTGTTGTTTTTACCTGATTCACCAGGCAATCACGGGGATGAGGAAATTGAATATGAAAAGAACATTCATGTTTGTGGAGTATATCTTTTCATAAAACTCAAAACATGGTTTTTTTCACACTGGTTTCCTAATAATATTTTTCCCAAAAATTGTTTTTGTCAGGCCAACCCTGTGTTTCTGATACTTCATTTAACATGTAAACATTTCCATATTGAATATATTCACAGTTCAGCAACAAATATCATTAAGACTAGTGCTAGGGGAATAAAGACAGGAAAGCAGAGCCAAGCACTCACTTTCTTATGCAGTTTTGGGAAGTGTGTGCACGTTGTAGTTACTGCAGGGAGATCACAACTGATCAATACTGACTCAGGTTTTTGATAAATAAAAGCAAATATATTTGAACCTATTTGGTGGTGATAATTCATTGATATTCCCAACTGTGTTTATTCTCCTCTGATGTTTATTATTATAAATTTTTGCAACTCAGTATAGAGGTATCAATCTCCTAAAGAATTCATTTAATGATTAATTACTGCAAAATTGAAAAAGCCAAACTTCCAACCCTGTGGTCAACTTTCACTATCCATAAAACAAAATATACCTTATTTGAGGATCAGTTACCAAAAGAGCCAAAGACTATTACAAATGAAGGGACACGAAATCTTAACATTGAACATGTGGTAATTTCTTTAGCTCTTCAAAAAGAGTACTTGAAATTATTTAAGAATGTATATTTTTATAGAATTTAGTCTGATTTTTTTTGCCACCTTAGTTGTAATACCAGGTAATTTAATTGCCTGATAATAAAGAACACCTGGAGTTGTTAAGGATTTGAGAGCGTCATTTCACCTCTACTAAATAAAAAGAAAATGCAGAGTTTTCTTCACTTGTTTTTGAAGCTGCTCTGGTTGTTTTGAGGTACTCTACTTGATCTAAATTTTTATAAACTTTAGGCTAAAAATATATTGCTGTCAATGAGACATGATTCAAAGAATGAAAGTAAAATAATTACATGACAGTTGAGAAAAGAAGCTAAAGCGTATGGAAATATGATATTGAGATGCAAAATCAAAAGAGATGTGTGTTTTAACTTTTAGAGAAATGTATATAATTTAACATTGTTCCCAAAAAACCAATGACAGAGCGTTTAATTGTTAACTCAGTGACATGGGTCAGGATATGATTCATCTGAACCTGCTGTAAAGACCCATTATTTCAAAGAAAAGAGTGAACTTGTATTTTCTATGAGAAACAGTTAATTAAACTAAATGTTGTTTCCAATACATTATTCAGTGATACCCTTTTAGGTAAGAATTTTATGTTTTATTAAAAGACTTCTATATATGTACTCAATATTCTGTTAATTAAAGTGAATGGTAATTTAATAAAAGATGTATTAGTAATTAATTGTCACCTACCATTAACAGTTAACCAAAAAGATGTGTATTTGAACAGTGGCAGTTAATTAATACTCAGTTCAAGTGTCTTCTCATCAAAGTAAAAAGTTATTTTCCCTCTCACCCTGTTCATCTTGAACATAAGAAACCAGGGTATAATTTGGTGGCATGACATCATGCTACAGAGACTTAAAAAAATAAAGCACTCAATTAAAGGCTGAAGTGGAAGTGGGACTTAACAGTTTATTGAATGCAAACATTTTGAATACTGAAAGCGGTGACTGAAAAATAAATAGACAATGTTTAAGAGAAAGGGTAGCCTTTTTCATGCCTGAAATGATTTAAATACACTCCTGCCTGGAGGAATTGATTAGGATGATTCTATACTGCGACACTAGAAATGACTTGCTATTGATAGATACATTTGTATGGAAATATTTTTATCTCAAACTGACAATAATTTCTTCTAAACTCACCTGGACCATGAGAACCCTCTCCAAAAAGCAAAGTTATGCCTGATCTTGTCACCAGAGAGTAAAAGTAAGCCATTTTCTCCTGAAATTTCGCTGTAAGTGTAATCGGTTGTATGTATACAGATCCCCTTATTTACTGCACAGGGTGGTGGATTTCAGTTATTCAATTTCACGTTTTTGTTCCCTCAAAAATAATTTATTAGATATTAATGAATATTATAGATATAAGCCAAAAGTGTTAAGAGAAATAAATCTCAATGTTGGAAGGTTAATGCATTAGCTGTTTATTTCATCAACCCTTTCAAAATTTTTTGTTTAATTTTCCTAATCTGAGCATCAATATATGAATTATATTTGGCTATGATTTTTCCATAGAATAAAGTTTGTGGACCCAAAACAACCTATAATCCCTAGGTTATTTACAAACTGGTCATTGAATTATTCTGTATAAAAATTGCATGATTTGTTCTATTTATATTTATATAGATCATTTTGTGAGTTTCATTGTAATTTTTGTTTTTCTTTAAAAATACCCTGGAAGTTTTCCACTTAAAGAACATAGTAATCTCCAGTGTGAATAGCTTCATAAATTTCATCACTGTATAAATAAACAGGTAGACCAACTCTAATATACAAAATATTTGCATTTATAGTTTGTTTTATTGACAAAATGTCCAGCCCAAAAGGTGTCATTCACAGTAGCTTGTTATTGACCTTTCCAACTGAAAGAAGTGATCGGGTTCACCTGCAAAATATGGAGAAATTATGGACAATGAAGCGAAACCTTTATTTCAGGATGAAGAAGTCAAAGTCGAAAAGAACTGCCTCACATTGTAAATGTGATGAGTCCACTAACGAATAGTCCAAGATGTTACCAATTATCAATTATTCTAAACTGCCAGGAACCACTAAAATCCGTCATTTCACTTATAACATCAAATTATTTGGATCCATTATATCTGATTTTTTTGTACCTTTAGTCCTTGTTCGTTAGGTGACTTTTCAGCTGAATTTTGTGATTTGATACTTGGCCATTGTTCAAATCAGTATCTTTGATTTCCGTATTATAGAACAGAAATGTTAAAATCTTTTGAAATTCGTGTTTCTGGCTTTTGTACATTGTAAACAGTCATTTGTGAAACTTGACAGCATATAATTGTATTACTTAGAACAAATTTTTTGCAACCACCTTTAAAAGATGTTACACAATGCAGTATTTTTACAATGTCTTCTTTAGAATGTGTGACTATATTTGTCAGGTTCAGATGAATTATGTAACAATTAAACCTCAAAGCTCTTATGAAGTATACAGTTTATGATTACTTTTGTAAAAGAAAATGGAAAGCATTTGAAATATAATTTTACTCTGTTTCATATGTACTTTGCAAAAGAAATAAAGTGATTATAAATTATCTTTGTCTGTGTTTATAGAAAATATATTTTCCAGATTTAATTTTGTGACCTTTATATTATTAAGGTTTTCTCTAATAGACATTATTTGTGGCATTCATTAGTAGTGCAGAATGATATGTTTATCAATAATCCAATAATTCAGGCACTGAATATATGTTAAAGGTCTTCTGCAATATATGTCATTTTTATCACAAAATTATTCATTTAAATTTTTGATTATTTCCACTAAGAAGCAATGAAACAATCATGAGTCAAGTGTTAAAAGCCGTAAATGCCATTTACACACATTAGCTAAATTTGTTTTACCTTCCAAAAAAAATCCCAAGCCCCTAGAAATACCTTAGCAGGTGATTCAGCAGTTGGGGTGTATCAGATATTTTGCTGGATCATTTGTCTGCTTCTGCTTTGCCTCCAATTTTCAAAATATTTTCATCAAGAATGTAGGCGTAGCTACTAGTTTTAGACAGTAAACAGGGCACTGACTCAAAGAAAATCATAACTGTTGGCAAATCAGATGTTCTATACCTAGAGTCATTGTTTATTTATAAATATATATATATATGGCCAGGCGTGTTGGCTCATGCCTGTAATCCCAGCACTTTGGGAGGCTGAGGCAGGTGAATCACCTGAAGTCAGTAGTTCAAGACCAGCCTGACCAACATGGTGAAACCCTGTCTCTATAAAAAATAAAAAAAATTAGCCAGGCATGGTGGTGGGCACCTGTAGCCCCAACTACTCAGGAGGTTGAGGAAGGAGAATCACTTGAACCCAGGAGGCAGAGGTTGCAGTGAGCCAAGATTGCGCCACTATACTCAAGCCTGGGCAACAAGAGCAAAGAGTGAAACTCC